GGGAGGAGAGGATGGGGGGGGCCCAGAGGAAGGTGGGAGGGAAGCAGCGCTGGGGGGGGGGAGGTGTCTGGGAGGCTGTGGGGCTGGCCGAACTGCCACGGAGGGAGGGAAAAGGGGGCAGGGCGCTGACGTACATGGCCAGGGGGCATGGCCATGTATGTCAGCGTTACAGGCCCACAGACAATGGGCTACTATATATATGATGAGCCAAGAAAAAACCTCTCTCTCTCTCCATACATCATTGAGCAAACAAGACCACAGGTTTTCAGAGGAGGAGAGGAATATAATCAAAGACATTATTTAATTTAACTAATTGAAATATTAAAACTGTCCAGAAATCTTTGTTTATTTAATGAGCCAGTCCATGCTCCAAAGGACTAAAAGAATATCAGGAGTCATTTACACTGTATATACCAATGATCTCTTATCCTATTTATTAGATTTGAATTTAAAACGTATCTAATCACACATATACACCCTATTCTTCCAAACTATAGGGTATGAAAACAGTGCAGTTTCAGCTGACTTACCTGGATAATGGTAAGGAGGCTCACAAAGAAGCACTGCTCCAACACCCTCCCGTACTTTTACCTCATAGCGTTCCTCAGGTGGAAATGTATCAAGGTCTAGATTTTTTTTTAAGACAGAGACAATATCAAGATTTTTTTTTATTCTTTTCTACAGCTTCTTTAGAGATAAATGTAAAAATATGTCAACACAAAGTGTGGGGCTATAAATCCTCTTTTGTTTTAGTTCTGCCATCATCAACTGCAATGGCTCTGCCTGTTCTAACTCCTGCACTTGCAACTGTTTATAAAGAAAAAAGAAAGGCTGGCCTTGGCTCTGATCCTCAGGTCCATTTAGACCTAAGAACTCAAGGATGGGTAGGCAAAAGTGGTTTCTTAGAACTTTTCGTTTCCCTAAGGGTATGTCTACACAGCAAAGTTATTTAGAAATAACAGCAATTATTTTGAAATAACTTTACTAGCGTCTACACAGCCAAACCACTATTTCGAAATAAATTCAAAATAGTGGAGCACTTATTTCGAATTTGGTAAACCTCATTCTACAAGGAATAACCCCAAATTCGAAACAGCTATTTCGAAATAAGTGTTGTATAGACACTTATTTCGAAATAGGGAGCCTCCAGCCTTCCCAGGGTGCCCTGGTGGCCACTCCAGCCTCAACCAAGAACACTTCTCTCCCTTGCCCTCTCCCCAGAGCCCTTAAAGGGATTGACTCTGGCCACAGTGCCTGTGCCAGCTCCAAGCCTACCAGCCCAGAGCCAGCAGTCACTGCCCCTGACCCAGTGGCCCAAAACCATGAGCCAGCAAGCCACTGGCAGCCAGCCCTCCACCGCTCCGCAGGAGCAGTCTCCCAGCTCCCAGGAGCCTGCCAGGGCCCGGAGAAGGTGGGCGCCTTCCTGGTCCAGGGTGGAGATGGACCTTATTCAGGTCCATAACCTCCACACTAGACGGAGGAACGCGGCCGTCTACAGCAGGATAGCTGACAGCCTGGCCACCAAAGGCCACATGAGAACCCAGGAGCAGGTTCGTATGAAAATCAAGTTGGTCCAGCGAGACCCCCCCTACCCTGAGCTTCCCCTCCCACTTATTCCCCTTGCTTCCCCCTACCAGATCCCTCCTCCCAGGTTTCTCCCTCCCCTCTCCTGCCTCCTTTCCCCAGTCTCATCAGAGTTTCATTCCCTCCCCCCAGTTTTATTAAATAGAGTTTGTGTTCATGAAAATACATGTATTTTATTTGACATCAGAAAGGGGGTTAGGGAGGGGTAAGTGGAAGGATGTGAGGGAGGAATGAGGCACAAGCCCCCAGTGGGGCAGACCAGGGAGGCTCTTAGTGCTCCTCAGGATGGAAGCTCTCTCGCAGGGCCTCCTGAATACTGACAGCCCCCCGATGGACCTCCTGGATGGCAGCCTGCAGAAAGTACAGCCAGGCTCACAGCAAAGCATCCAAGAGCAGCACCAGAGTGCCCAGGGGCATGTCTGGCTCCATGTTTCAGAGTGCTGTGGTGTCCCGAGTGAGGGCAAGCAGAGCACACAGAGACAAAATGCTTTGCTGTCCCTCATCGAGGTAGACAAGCAAGCAGGAAAACCTGAGAACTGGCTGTCCGGTTGGGTCCCTTTAAGCACAGGCCTCAGATAGCCTCAGGCAGCAGCCACGCACAGGAAGTCCTGACCTGGTGCGCTGCTGGAACTGGTTCTGGCCAGCTTTAAATGCGATTCACAGTCCACTCAGTGTGGGTGCGCTATTTCAAAATAGCAAAATGCTATTTCAAAATGCATTTTGTGTGTAGACACGTTATTTCGAAATAAGATATTTTGAAATAACACTATAGTGTAGACATACCCCAAGTGATCAGCTATCTAGAAAGCCAATTCAACCCCGGTTGTATCTAGGAGCATCTCCATGGCATCTCCCAAGATGAACCAGGCTGCTTGTGCCTCAAGCACTCTCTTCAGCTACATCTCCTATGCCATTTGAGATGGGGAGGCACAAAGCAGTGGAGATCTTTAGCTCGCTGGCAGAACCAGTGCTATGGACCCTTTGTGCCAGTGGAACAAGGAAAAGGTCTTCTGAAGAAGGGCCATGGATCAGGACATTGTTTAGTTGCACATTCTACAGTCTGTGGTATTGAACTTATGATGGCCACAATGATAAGACATTGTGCTTTGGTTGCATGTCTGTTACAGAGAGCAGATTATATTTATTAATTTAAAAAATGGTACCTATAAGATGGTTGTAAATGCCTTCCTTTGTCACTTTCATTGTTGTGTGTCTTCTCAAATTAGACTGTAAACTCCTTGGGGGGCAGGGGCTGTCTTTTACTAAGAGATTGCATAGCACAAAGTGCAATGTGTGTGGGAGAATCCAGAATGGGTTTTCTATGTGCTAATCAGTCTATATAATCAGCCTAAGCATTAAAAGATGTGCAAAATACCCTTCCCATCAAAAGCCAAAGGAATCATGCAACCTGAAATCATTCAGATTATTTCAGCTCTGTTAGGCTGCACCTGCTCTTCTCTTTTACTTAGTTCCCAAAGTTGCTAAAAGTGTCGGGTCCCAGGATCTAACTACAACTAAATTTCGTGAGTAGCAAGACAGAATCAATCAGGATAGAAATTGCATACACATTTACACAAAAGGACATCAATTTGATTTATGAGCTACTATAACTGAGAAGGCACAGTAGAATAAATACTGTACACATTGCAGAGGAACTACAAAATAGTTAATTCCCAAAATACAGAAAGAATAGGATGAAGATGAAAGGCTCAATAATCTGTTAAATTCAGCAGATGTCTGAAATGAGAAAATTATATACCAATATCATTTGCCAAAATCGATTGACCTTCTTAAGTAGTTAGCCAGGATATTTGCTTCACAACATAAAATGATGACCCTAAACTCTTTCTTTTCCCAGAGGCAGACCTGCACAATTTCTTGTCAGGTTTGCTCTATTTTTCATTACCCATCTCATCTTGACATTCTGCAGTTGTATATTTATTATAATGATTGTAAAAACTACTAGTGCTATCCTTTAGTGGAAAATGCAAAACAAAGTGATTACTAGTTTGAATATGGCCAACATAGGGTTTGAGGAAAGAAAAAAAATCTAATTGTCATTGTTTTAATACTTACTTTACTAATTTTCAGTTAAAATTTGTAAATGCATAGCTTTATTTATGGTGTGTTTTGGAGACATTTGTGAAGTTTTGGAATAATCACCACAAATTCAAAGGCAAAGTAAAGAAGAGGCAATTTAATTGTAAAAAAAACCACATTAGGATTTTACTAAAATAGAATGATCTGTGTCAGACTGCATAGAGATGCCTGTACAATTTGGAATCTATAACTGCACACTTTCTTCCAACTTATAAAATGCTGTAAATGCTAATTGGCTCGGTGTCTAATCTGCATAATGACTATAATAATTATAAATAATATGAATACTTGAACTCTAATTGGAAGCTATCTATTATTAAACATAGTGCAAGAATTTGTATAACCATTTTAGAGTTATAACTGTACAGTGACTATGGAAATATCCTTCCTCTATTTGGCTACTCCAGCCCCTCTGCTTTGATTTTGCTCCTGTTCTTACAATTTTCAATTGGTTTTTCACCAAAAAGGAGGTGGTTCAACTGACTGCCATCAGCATAAGCCAAAACGCACCAATAATTTATATGAAAAAAGAAAATTCCCCAAAGCAAAAGAAGTTTGTGTGTGTGTGTGTGTGTGAGAGAGTGTTACTATATCATAAAAATAATTATTACTTGAGAAGCCAGCACTATAGCTGCAGGACACTTTCATTGTCTATCTTTTAATAGAGCCTTACACCTACTTAAAGAGAGACAATTGCTCCCCTCCACCAACTTGTTCAGGTCTGCAGCCGTCAGCATCTACAACGTGAGCTACTGCAATACATGCCACACCATTGATATTAAAGTGAATGTGTGCCTACTGGATGAATTTACTTTCATTACAGAAAAACTATAATCCAGCATTGAATTTCTGCTAGAAAATGTACTATGGAGTATTTTTATTTAAAATACAAATGACACTTGCATCCAGACTTATGTGAAAATCCATGAATCTGGCTTCACTTTGAAATATTTCATCATTATTCACAAAAAGTGAAATACTGCCCTGTGCAGAGAGCACTTGTCTCTCTCAAGCCTTTAATGTTGGGATGAAGCAATCCATAGGGCCTTATTTGGGATCCCTGCACAAGGATGGATTTTACCTTGTATTTTGATGCATAAAATATTTCCAGGATTATATCACTTTAAGGGGGAAATTAAAAAAAAAACACAATTCTTTCTCCAGATGATAAAATCTAGACATTTGTGTTTCCCAGGTATATCCCTTTTAAGTGAGGGATGACCCCAATTTTATAAGAACAGTCTCAATATTTGGAAATTTGCCTTATATAGGCACCTATTCCTCCCACCTCCATCCCAATTTTTCACATGTGCTTTCTGGTCAACTTAACCAGAGTACCAAAGTACCTATTGTTGACTGTATGTATATGGAAAACACTGGCTAATGATTGTCTGAAGTTGACAGAAATGCCCTCAGCAGGACCTTACATGAGATGTAAGGAATATAGCATTCTTTTCACTATAAAAATGACACATCATCCATTTTAGAACTTCAATCTATTTTGACATGGATGACAGATGACCTTCATCATGTGAACTTTTTGACAACTTCCCCCGGGTTCCATGTTGTCTTAAAAAAAAAGTAGGACACTATATACCTAAAGATTGTGAGAATTCCTCCTTTCTGTCTAACTACATTGTGTGGCCCTCTTTGCAGATATAAACGCAAGGCCTCTCAGATGGTTACAATGCCAAAAGCAGGATGAAGAGTTATACTGGTTTAAAAACTTAATCTTGTTACAGACTAACTTGGGTAACCCTCTGAAGCTTGTTGTCTCTGTCGATTATGACCCTTTATATATATAATTTTCACAAGCAATACAAAGATACAATGCAGTGACAATAAAATGCTGCAACAATAATAAAATTAAATATTGACCATTTAAATCTAATCACTATGTACTTATCTGTTTTAGAATTAATAGTTGCTTACATCCAAAACTTAGAGCAGCTTCAGCACTTCGGACAGTTCCAAAGATATTTGATGCTATACAAACATATTTCCCAGCATCCTTTGATTTCTCTGGGTTATTGATAAGAAGTCTACCTCCCACAATACTATAGCGTTCCTTTGTTAAATCAATATCCCAGTTATTTAGTTTCCATCTATTAAAAAAAGAAAAGATTATGTGATTCTTGCAACAGTTTTACTCAAAATATTTACAAGACAACTCTTCATATATGGATTCACAACTTGATGTTAATTGTAAAAAAATGATATTATATTCATGTATTTACAATACATGGTTTTATTTTAATTTTCCTCAAACAAGGCTCTCAAATTTGAACAGCCTTAAATAACCTTTAATCATGATATAGGCTGTGACGTCGTAGCTGTGTGAGTCCCAGTATATTAGAGAAACATGGCTGGTGAGGTAATATCTTTAAACAGAAGTTGGTTCAACAAAAGATATTATCTTATCTAAGTTCTCTCTCTATAAACAAGATGGTCAGCCCAGTCAACTAGGTGAGAAGAAAAAACATCTGCGAGGTAAGACTACAGGAACTATATGGTGGGGACATGTAGTTAAAAAACCCACACACACTGTGCAGCAGAAGAGTTGCATTTTAATTTCTTCCAGATCCTCCCCTGTACACTTGGGGATCTACAGGCCAAGGAGGTTAATTCAGGCCTAAAGTAATAGTATTCCCAGTGGAAAGAGATTTGTTTTAACAATGTCATTATCTTAAAAAACAAAATGAATGAGGAGCCCATTCTCACTGCTACAAGGATGACTGCATGAGAGACTGGGTGAGTAAATGGATGGACTGGCTCCTGCATCAGATTGTGCTGATGTGGCATTATTTCATAAAATGCAACCACAACAACACAGGAACTCATTGGACCAAATTTATCCCAGTTGTAACTGCACTCATTTCCAAAAAGAAAGTTATACCAGAATTGAATATGACCCAATATTTATAAACTGCCTACACAATTGCATGGGAATAGATAGGTATTATTATGTCCACCAGAGGGAGCGCATAATCTGGTTTGAAGGTAATAGAAATGTACCGGCATACATTTTCTTTTTGTATTTTATTACTCTCTGTTTTGTTTCTTCAACAAAAAAGAAGTCTATTGAAATGTGTTAAACACACTAATAGTTTGGGTGCTAAAATTGATTAAATATTAACATTTAAAAGAGAAAAAAACATGCAAAGTAGTTTCAATGAACCTATATCCCTAACAAGATCAAAACTCAATAACTTTGAAACAGGAACCTTTTCCATAGTAGCAGCTGCAAGCAATAGTTAAAATAACAACAATAGTAATTTCTTTAATAATAAAAATGGAATTAAAGAATGTTATTTCACCAACATGAGGAAAAACACGTCGACATTATTAAAAAATTGTAAAATACATGTGGAAATATATAAAGGTGGTTATCACATACATAGTTTAAACTGTGATTAAACAGAACATTTTGCAGAAATGGGAATCTGTGGTTATTCAGAAGAAAAAGACATAGTAAATATGTTTTTCTGAACTTATTAATTTGAGGTCAGTACACAATCATGTTTCCTTGATCTTACTTGAATTTTTCCTTTGTATGAACATAATATTATTTATGTTCCTCTGTAAATCAAGGAATTAAAGTACCTTAAAAATAAACCTTAATGGAATCATTCAAAATGAGCAGAAACCATTACTGAGTAATCATGGATCTTATTACTATAAATACTGTCTCTTCTCATGGAGTTCCTCTCTTTTACCCCCATAAGCAAATACTTAGGAGTAATTTCATGCACAAGACAAAAGACCTATTTTGTTCAGCACAACTTTGCATGTGCTAAAAGCTTCTAAGGAGTGCAGGTATTTTCAGAGTAAGAACTATTGTTACACTTACTGTGTCACTGCTAAAACAAATTGTAATCTCTTTAGGCGATGGAACACTTTTGTATTTGTTGTGTAATGAGTTTGGCACACTTTGAGGTGTATATGAACAAAAATATGGGGCAGTGTGACCTCCATGCTAACATAAGAAGCTAGTGGCCCATTTAGAGATAATCCAGTTGGGGCCAGGAAGCCTAGAGACCTAGAGAGAGCAGGGAAAGGGCAGCCTAAAGAAGGGCTCTCTTCCAAGAAAGCCAGGAAATCTCTGAACTCAGAATGAGGGACTATGGAACAAGCCTGTATGGAGGCAGAATATGGTAGGACTCTGGATGCTAAGTACTTGAGAAACTGGAGAGGGCATTAGATGAAGTGTGCCTGAGAGAAACAAAGTCAGTTCGAATCTAAGAGTCGACAACCTAAGGTTTAAGGATCTATTGTCAGAGGTCTGAAGTAGAGGGGTGGCACTTATCCCCTTTGTGGTGTCATCTTTCAAGGGGATAAGTCAACTACCTGAAAATGTTTACAGAACCAAAATGGCAACTTTAAGCCCTAGGGAAGTATGAAGATTTGCCACGTGTAGAGACAAATAGTGTAGGAAAAATCCTGAATAAATAGGGAAGAGACCATAATGCAAATAGTGAAAAGACCAGGAGAGCTAAAGATGGAGCTCAAGGAAGGACTGAAGGCTTTGAGCTGGGCTACTCTGTCTCCAAAGTGGAGAGGTCTAAACCATCACAGTGACCAACAAGCTTATGAAAAACTAGTGGAGAGAGAGGAAAATCAAGGCATTGTTCTGACATAACTATAACAGGAAATAAGAATGCTGTTGAATCATGCTAACTGCAAATAAGTCACAAACTCACAGCAAGAAATATTCAAATCTGTTTTTTAGTAGAAACTCTACATTCACCAGGGTGTTCACCACACAAATAATGCTGCTGCTTTGGACTTTGAAGGAGCCATGGTAGATGGGTGTGTGTGTGTGGAAACCCTGCTAACTTTCACGACCTCAGTGTACTGTATATTAGAGAGAGTTTATTTGTCTGTAAGTGAGTAAGCAAGTCTTTCAGTCTGTCCATCGGACCATCAAATTTGGTATGCAGCTTCCTCTTACCTTAACTTAAAGCTGAAGCCTGTTCCCCTGCCTCTGATGTATATGGCGATACATAAAACCATACAGAAAGAAGACAGAATCACCAGGCAGGTGAAAGTGGCTGGCTGGGAGCAGGCCCCAACCCTGTCTGGGACAGCCTCAGCCCCAAGCCTCCTACCCTCCAAGTGCCCTTTAGAGAGAGTGACGGGGGGACTGTGGCTTCCCTACTCCCCACCCCCATTCATACAAGAACATTGCTGGCTGTTCCTCTTCATCAAGGAGTGAAGCAAAGGGCACAGTTTGATCCATTCCTCAATCTAGCTGGAGAGCATGGGGCAAGACAAACCTGGACCTGCCCAGCCAGGGGATCTGCACCCCTCTCCCAGCTGTACTTGCTGGAGCTGCAGCAGCCACGGAGAGGTGCTTCTCACCTGGCCCCAACCTGCTTTGGTGAGAGAGGGCAGGGACAGGCATCTCTCCCTGAGGCAGTCTGCATACTGAACCTCTCATCCCCAGCCCAACCCCAGAGCAATCATTTAAATCAAGAAAAACAAAAATTAACTGAGTTAAAGACCTGAGCAACACCAGGTAAATCTTTTAGCACTATACGAAGGCAAAAACTCTCTCCATTTCAAAGGATTAGAATCTGAATGAGTTGTCCACCTTCAGTATTCTAGTCTCAAGTTCACCATTTACCATAAGTGCTTTGCGAGGATGATGTGGTGAAAATTAACACTTGGGGGGCACTGTGCTGATGCTATCGTATGGTAGATGATCATAATATTATTACAGATACTGAAAGAATGGTTCAGTTTCTCAATTGTGCGTTCCTTCATAGAACTCTGACAGGAAAATGAGCTTGTCAGCTTATGAGTAAAATGGATCCCTTGCCTTGAAAGGAGTTAGAAGTCTGATCTTACTCTAAAAAAGAGGGTTATCTGGCCATGATAAGAATGTATACCACCATGTTCTTCTGACAAAGGTAAGCTTCAGAGTATGTTCTCTGATGGATGCTGAATCATTGAAGCATTCCATGGATGCCATGAGAGCCCACTCATACACAGAAGAATCAGTCGTCATGAACTAGTTCATTATCTAACTTACTATGACAGAGTTCATATGGAGAAACTCTAGTCTAGAGCTAGTAGAAACATTTTCCTTAAAACATTTTTCCATCATCAAAGATTCTCAGATTCAATGTGACACTGCTATCTGTGATTTTGAATTGGTTGGAAATGAAGGCCTAGTTTGAAAGTTCACCCTTAGGCTCCTAAAACCAAATTGAAACCCCCCTGAAAATGTTCTATGAAATGCAGCTCATGTTTTCTATTGAGACCTTCTCTAGCTATCATTACAAATATAAGGAAAACTTTTATTAGTGAAAAATTGCTCAAACATCGACACCTGTGTGTCTAGGAGGACTATGCATCCATGTGTTAAGCCAATCATTCATTCCAAATCAACACATTAGAATATTTAAAATGTTCAGTTTGTGATATACATTGTAAGTCTTGTAATTCAAAATCATGCTAAAAGTTTACTTGTAAGTTGGAAAGGGAATTGCTCGAGCCCTGCAGTTCATGGAAACTCGTCCATCTGTCGATTCCTCAGGGTAGATGGTATCAATCGGTTGCTCCTCAAAAACTGGTCCATATCCTTTTCCATCCTCTGAAATAAAAATATAGGTTGACAATTAATATGCTGAAAAAGTAAATCTTAAGTAACAATGGCCATACCATGTAAGACCAAAGGTTCATCTAGCCTAATATCCTGTCTTCTGACAGTGGCCAATGCTAGGTGCTTCGAGGGAGTGAACAGAACAGATAACCATCAAGCAATCCATCACCTGTCACCCATTCCCAGCTTTTGACAAACACCATCCCTGCATAGCCTGGCTAATAGCCATTGCTGGACCTACCCTCCATGAATGTATCTATCTCCTTTTGGAACCGTGTTATAGTCTTGGATGTCACAACATCTTCTGGCAAAGACATGCACAGGTTCACTGCGTATTGTGTGAATAAATACTTCCTTTTCTGTGTTTTAAACCTGCTGCCTATTAAGTCAATTTGGGGACCCCTAGTTTTAGTGTTATTTACCCCTAGTGTAAATAACACTTTATCACTTTCTCCAAACTGGTCATGATTTTATAAGACCACTAACATATCCCCCACTTTAGTTGTCTCTTGCCCACCTGAAAAGTCTTATCAATCTCTCATGCACCAATCTGCATCTATCACACCTATTAATTTTTATCGATTTTCATTAAGAAACAATAAAAAACAAAAGGCACACCCATTATAACATGCTGTGCTGGGAGATGCTGTTGGATTGTTATCCCTGCAAAGTGAAATTCTCTATACATCAACAAAACAAGCACAGAGTGGACAACAGTAGTGCTTGTTTCTCTTCACTATTCTTCTTTGGGTCATTCTTGCCCTGGGGTGAAGGTGAAGGTAATTTAGACTCCATTCACATTCATTTCTTGCCCTCTCTGGTGACACCACCAAGAAGGGTGATAATTAGTGCCAGGTCTGGTGGAGGCATTTTTCATTTGGATATCTGTCTACTAGGAATGGATTTGAAACCAAATCATTTGACACAGGTCAACATACTGCCATCAGAGATAATCAGTACATTTGAGCTGGGAAAAATACAAACAAATAATGATCTTTAAAGCTGAATAGTCTCCTTTTTTCTCATCTACAGAGCACCAAAGTTTTTATATGTGTGGAATGAATCTTTACTGTACAGATAAAAGACTAATATTAAAGAAAATGAAGCTGAGGCTTCCTCTCCGATTCCAATTTATTTCCCTTTTATACAAGCCTCTTGGAAAAGAAAAATGACATTGCCACTTTGATGTAAGATATTGTAGTCAAAGATAAATTTATCATTGTATATTCAATTAAGTCCCCACAAAGTATGTTAAAGGAAAGAAAGTTGATGTGATATTTATAGGTTATACTCATGCTTTCACTGCAAAATCAAGATTCATAAGTTAGGAAATTCCTGAATTAAGGTTCTCTGAGCAACAAATGAATTCACATTTTAAAATAACTTTATCTCCTATACCCCTGCTTCTCTTGAGCTCCTGATGCCACCCCTTTGTTCTCTTTGTCTCTTTCTCATCCCCACCTTGCTCCCTGCATTCAAATCAGGCTGCTTTCTCCCTCCTTCTCCACATTGCCAGGGCACCAGCAGTGGCTCTTAGTTCTGGTGGATAGTGGCACAATGGTCCCAAGCAGCTGCGAAAGTAATTGAATGGAAATTCTTGTCCAACCCCTGCAGCCCTAGGATGTAGCAAGTTCAATCATTCTGTAGGGATGGAATATGTACATACCACAGTCAGCAGTATGTGCAGTTAGATGCAGTGCAGGGAGGACATGCTCAGTGCAGGTAGAAAGTTAAGAGATTTTAATTGACAAAATCTATTAAGTTGCTACTGAGCAAATGTGAACTGAGACTTTTCAAAAAGTGTTATAACTTGGTTAAATTTAGCTAAACTTTCAGGGGAACAGGAAAAGTTGCAAGCCAGATACCTGGGCAACTTCCCGCCCACAGTTCTTGCTTTAGAGCATAAAGTGCTAGAGCATCTCTACAAATTAGCTCACAGAATACTCTTTTTAATGTGGGCAAACCAGCATCTTTTTGCCAATCTTGTTCTTAGAAATGGCTGAACTGTTTTATCTGAAACATTTGACTGGGAGGGGAAGCAGTCCACAGCCTATGCCACCACGGCCTATGCCACCAAACTAGTGACCTGGGATTGTACTGGGAAACCAAGTGAACTCCATGGGCACCACTGAAAAGGCCACAGTGCCAGGGGCCACTGTGTTGGCTGCAAGGGTATCTGAGGTGCTGGCTGGCATGATGCCTGATACGGCTTCGAGAACCACGACCAAGGGAGAGAACATGGCTCCGATGCAACACTAAGCGACCTCACACTGGATGATGCCCAGGAAGGTGAATAGGCACTGCACTCCATTTGGTATGGAGAGCTCCTTGACAAAGGTAATCTCTGAGGTCTCAGGGAGCAGGAACACCAGTGAGCAGGAGACCAACCCCAGTCTCTATATCCCCAGTGGGGAGACGGGGATCAACGCTCAGTTAAAGAGGCTTGGTGCTGTGACAATGAGCGGGACCTGGAGATTCTGCAATCATGTCCAGAGTAGCGCAGTGCTACTGAGTACTGGCAGCACAGGGAGTGGTATCACACTTCCAGGGAGCTGTCCCTGGAGTATTGGCTGGCATGCAGCGAGCAGGTGGTTCCCTTGCATCCCAATAGATGGGGGCATCTGCCTCGTCTCCAGCCTCTAGTGATAGTTGAGTCAAAGTGTCGGACCCCAACTTTTTCCTGTGGCAAGTGCGCCGGGCTGCAGGGCATTCTCCTCTCAGACCCTGCAGGAGAGTGAGAGTGCCAGGCACTAGGCAATCAGGGAGCCAATGGAGACATCCTCCTTTGGTGGGAATTGGCTACTGTGGGCATAGGCAGCACCAGCATGGAGACAATGTCCTGGGCTGCCTGGAACGCCTCCAGTGTGGTTGGCACCTGAATGTCTGGGGAAGGGAATGGAGAATAAGTAGGGCTAACAAGATCCACTTGCAAATGTGCCTCATCCAGTCCACATCTCTCCTCAGGCCCCCATGGGCTTGCCTTCTCTTTATAATGGAATCTGGAGGACTTCTCCTTGCCCTCTTCCTGGCCTTTTTTGACAGGACCACTGAGGACTTCTGGTGCCGAGTGGGGGACAGCACTGTGAGAGGGGTGCTCCACACCGAAGCACTAGTGCTCGGTACCAAGTCAGACCGCTGGTCTTAGGGAGCCAATGCAGATTCCATGAAGAGCACTTTTAAATAAATAAGCCGGTCTTTCATAGTTCTAGGCCGGAAGGATTTGCAGATCTGACACTTCTCACTGATGTGAGACTCTCTGAGACAGCAAAGGCAATCCACATGAGGGGTCACTAACTGATAGGGGCCCACAGCAGTTAGCACATGATTTAAAGCCAGGGGAGTGGGACATGCCCGGTCCCCTCGCTAGGTCGCTACTAAGGGGACTATTTCTACAACTAACAAATAGAGGGAAATATTTACAATTGAAAGAAAATACTAACACTTGAAATATTAACACTGTCACCAAGAAGGAACTGAGCGAGGGTGGGTGTCCTATGTGGCACAGCATGTGCGCGCCACTCTAGGGGGCACTGAAGCCAGTCCCCTATGGATTCCGCCGAGGGAAAATTTTCCGGTACTGGTACATCTGGCCAGCGCACACATCTATTTGAATGGACATGAACAGGCTCTCAAAGAAGAACTGTAATTTGCAAATTTTGCTATGTCACACATCCCACACTCCTTTTCAAGTTATTAAAATATTGATCAACATGACATCCGCTACTGAATCTTTAGGTCTCCCATAATAAATTTTCATCTTGGCATAAGGTTAACAATTCTATGCTTTGCTTTCTGTCTCTTAGTCATCACAATATTTTGCTTCTCACTCCATACATTCGGTGTGGAGCACCCCTCTCATAGTACTGTCCCCCACTCGGCACCAGAAGTCCTCAGTGGTCCTGTCAAAAAGGGCCAAGGCCTTAAATATCAACAGGTTTCCATTATCCGCTACTAAAATGTCACGTTCAAAGAATTCTGAGATTGGTGATAAACAATTTTCCCTTACAGAAACTATGCTGGTAGTACTCTATCCTATCATTATTTCTATATGCTTTTTTTCCTGTATTTACTTATAATTTCAAACAATATATTTATGTAGAATGATTACTGGTATATAAATACATACCCAGAGTCTTTTTAGAATGTAGTGTCAATATTTGCTATACTCTAATCCTGTGACTTTTTAAAAGTAAGAAATTTTTTGTTAAGCTTCTTGAGAAGCCTTGGAAGGACTGTTGAAATTGATAATTTAAAAAGCAATTACTATCTGGGCCTAGTAACTCATTGCTTTTTAAATTATCACTTTGCGCCAGCACCTCTTCTTCTTACTCAATCTCTGGAAGCACTTCATCTTTACTACTAGAAAAGAGCAGGCCCAGGGTAAGACTCTCTACCAACAAAATACGAAGAAAGCATTTAGCTTTTCAGCAGTGTCCTTATGTTTCTTAATTGTTCCCTTTATCCCTGACAATCCAGATGTTCCACAGATTCTTTTGCGGAGTCTTGCTTCTGATGTACTTAAATAATCTCCACTGGTTTGTTTTTGTTTGCTCTTGGAAATTCATTTTGGCCTTGCAGTTTCCCTCTTGCTTTTACTGCCTGTTGTACTTCGTATCCATGTTCATTGTCTTCTCTAAGAAAAGAGTTCCAAATTTTTAAAGATCTGTATGACTAAAATAACCTTTTGAACTTTGCCAATTAGTCATATTAGTTTCTGCTGGCTTTGTGCGTGTTCAATGGCACAGAAGTCTTCTGAGACAGTAATAATGTTTTAAGTAGAATACTTGACAATGATAAGATTTACTTCTGATTTGGGAACTTTGGGTCTCACTTCCTCATTTTATTGACATCCTTTCTTTTGAAAGTTTAGTGTCACTGTTTCACTTTGTGGCATGCTGCCTGCCCCCCTCAATATTGAACCTAATTACACCGACTTTGCTAGTTCTTAGGGTGAAATAGAATAGTTAAAAAAAGAAGAAGCAAATAAAGGC